TTCATACCCCCCTCCATATCCCCTCCATATACCCTTCATATCCCCCTCCATATACCCTCCATATACCCCTCCATGTGCCCCCCATATGCCCCTCCATATACCCTTCATATCCCCCTCCATATGCCCTCCATATACCCTTCATATCCCCCTCCATATACCCTCCATATACCCTTCATATCCCCCTCCATATACCCTCCATATACCCCTCCATGTGCCCCCCATATGCCCCTCCATATACCCCCACATGCCTCTCATTATGGCCGACCACATGGCCCTTCATATGCCCCGTCCCACCAGTCCCACAGAAGCCCCAAGCTCTGCCCCAGCCCTCCCTCCTCTCCCCAGCGTCTGGGAGGGAGAAGGAAGAGTACAGAGACTGCTGTTCTCGGCGCCAACTGTGCAGCCCCTGCGTGCAGATTTGAACTCTGGGTTTCTCAGCTCTCTCTGCTCTGGGAGACACGCCGAGGAGCTGCCTGCCCTCAGCTGTGAGAAGGGGCAGTTTCCTTGGGGGTGAAGTGTGGAGGGATGGGTTCTGCTAAAGAAACACCGCCAGTATCTAGGACCAGCAGATGATGTAATGTTTACATGGCTGAACTCCCGTGTAGTTGACTGTGGTTCAAGTCCCAGACTCAGTGGCTTAAAGTCACATCAGGCCCATGTGAGTGTGTGCCCAAGGTCCCAAGAAGATAGTGGAGGAGAAGGGATTGTGGGGTGGCCATCGTCCTGGGGTGGGGGTGACTTCTCCTTTTCTGTCTCTCTGTCTGTCTCTGTCTCTCTGGTGAGCGCATGTGCCCAATAGTAAAAATCTCTAAACAAAACAAAACCAGGGTGGACAGCCCTGCTGTCCTGGAGAGCGTGGGGACCTCTTCTGGCTTCCCGGGAAGCTGATGCGTGGGGGTGATTTCCTATGGAGGGAGATGGAGTTCCACCAACCAGAGTGGGCCAGTCCCAATAGTGCCCTGTGACTAGAGGGAACTGTTGTGCTCTGGTGCAAAGGGCACCCCTGGTCAGGGTGGCATTTTGAAGTTCTCTTCTCTAGAATGTCCGTAGCCACCAGGGCAAGCCGGGATACAGCCAAGGACTCTCCTGGCAGTTAGGCCAAGACCCGCTGCCAACAGCGCCACCGTGTGGCAAAAAGAAGCAATGTCGTTGGCCCAGGGCCCAGAAGGCCCTTGCTCATCTCTGGAGACACAGACCCTCCCTGAGCTGGTGGACTCTTCCTGCTCGCCGGATCGGTTTCAGTCGGGACTGGTTTTCCTATCTGGAGGGAAAATGCAAGCCTGTACTTTGAATTTGCGGGCAGTTTATACTAGGCGGCAGAGGTCACTAGGGCCAGTCTGGATTTTCAATAGTTTTCCTTTCTCTGTGGAGAGGTCTGAAGACTGGAAATCTCACGTCCGGGTACTTGAGCTATGACGTCACTGATTGCCCTGGAGGAAACTGGCTCGAGCTGGGAAGATCTTAGGCCTGCAGTGAAGGAGGTGACTGACTGGCCCTCTGTGCCTGGTTCGGCCCTCTCGTCACCATGTTGGACTTGAATGCAGGGACCTGGACAGGAGCCCCTCAGAGACCCATTTTCCATGATCTAGACCCACAGGAGGAGTGGCCGAGATAACCACAGGACCCACCTAAGAACCAGCACTTCTAATGGCAGATTCGACAAATAGGACTCACACGCACAAGAGAAAATTCAGAGTGTCGGTGTGTGGCATGGTGGCTAGGGCAGCTGGATCCCACATGGTTGATGGCACGGTTCAAGTCCCAGACCTTGCGGCTTGAAAAGAACCACTCTGGGTGCACGTACATGCCCAAAGTTCCAGGAGGAGACGGAGAGAGTGACGACACGTGACCTGGGCCGCTTTGGCATGTTCTCTCTCCCTCCATCCCTGGCGAGTGCACATGCCTTATAGCAAGAAAAAGAACTTCTAGGACCAGCAGACGATGCAATGGCTATGTCGCTGGACCCCCATGTAGTCGACCGAGGTTCGCGTCCCGGACCTGGTGGCTTAAAACTCACGCCGGGCACGTGTGCGTGCGTGCCCAAGATCTCGAGAGGAGAATGGAGGAGAAGGGATTATGGCGTGGCCATCCCCCCTGGGGGGTGATTTCTCGCTTTCTGTCTCTCTGTCTCTCTGTCTTTCTGGCGAGCGCATGTGCCTTATAGCAGAAATCTCTCTAAAAAAAAGAAAAGAAAAAAAGAAAAGAAAAAAAGAAAAGAAAAAGAACTTCTGGGAGAAAACGCAAGCAGCGCAAGGAGGAGTAGCCCTCCCCAGGGTGCACTGTCTTTCAAAACAAGCGTTTATTATCTCGTGGTTTCATGGGCCAGGAGCAGGAGCGGTAGTTGTGTGGTCCTGCCTCAGAGCCATAGAAGATGTGCACTGGGGCCGAGAGCTCATCCGAAGGCCCCGGGGCCAGAGAACCCCCACCCAAGCCCGCTCACCTGGCTGTTGGCAGGAGGCCTCGGTTTCTTGCCAGGTAGGCTTTTCACAGGGCTCCTCGGCATCTCAGGTGCCTCCTACCATGAGCTCTGACTGACACGTGAGAGAGCGAGGGAGGAGGGAGCAAGACAGTAGCCCAGTGTCATTTTTAGTTTTTTTGCTATAGGGCACGTATTTCTCACCAGAGAGAGAGGGGAAGCAAGAAATCACCCCCCAGGGTAGATAGCCATGCCACAATCCCCTCTCCTCCACTCTCTTCTCAGGATTTTGAGCACTCACACATGCGTGCCAGGCATGTTCTTCAAGCTGCCAGGTCCAGAACCTGAACCTCACAGTAGGCCATGTGAGATCCAGCACCCTAACCACCACTCCACCTGCTGGCCCACCACAGTGTCTTTGATAACCTCCTCTCCGAAGGGACATGCCGGCAGCCCTGCCTCGTTCTGTGCAGTGCCAGGGAGACTGCCACGGGGTGAGCAGGAGGGGCAGGGCACCTCGCAGAGGTGGGCCGCCCAATAGACCCCGTCTCCAGCTCCGCAGCCAGGCGTGGACGGGTCTCCTTCTGCAGTATAGTTGCTATGTTCAGC